TCCTCTGTGTAACTCCAACATTGCACAGATGCCCCATGACCTGCCAGTCATGCTGGTGCGACCACCATTACAGGTATTCTAATCCAACCGTTAGTAACAGTTGCCATAATACGAATATTACATAAGTGATTATCCAAATTTTCGTCGTCGATAGGATTTAAACACCCAACCTACTACTTGGGGGGTTGACAACCTGACCACTTCACTAGGTCGCCACACCCCTCCTAAACCTTTTTGTAATATCAAGCTAATAGTATATTAGTATATAATTAATGATATACCTACAGAAAACCCTATAGAAAATATATGTAATCAAGTTGCAAACTAAACCAACTATAAAAGTACATCTGAAAAGAGTATGTAGTAAAATTGTAGATTGATAATCCAGATTTTGATAAATCCAACTATACTACTAGGGTATTAGAAGTAAATTAGAATGTGTAAACCAAACTGGTAACAAGAAAAGCAAGAAACTATTAGAGTCAACCAATTTGAGAAAAAGATGAGTTACTGCAGATAGGAGACAGAAAGACTGCTAGGTAAGAAAAATAGAGAAAATTAAAAATATAATAAAATGATTTACAATCTTTCTAATAGTTTAGTAATGATGATTAAAATACATAATAAAGGCTACAAAAATAGAGTATATAGAAAAATGTAGGTATAATGTTACGTTGGGTGTTTAGAAGCAAAAAAGATTTTAGTAACACAAATATAATGTAACTATATATAATAGTAATACAAAAAATTAAATAAAGTATAAGTTATGATTTGGCATTATAAAAAAAAAAAAAAAAAAAACATAATAAAAATGATAACTGTTATAAACATTAACCTTAACCAAATAAAAAATTATTATTTTACTTAAGATTTTTTTTTTATAATAAGTTTGCTTTTATTTATAACAGAATGTAATATACTACAATATACTTAAAAATAGCATATTCAAGCAAATAAAAACTTATTTGACTAAAAACTTCAAAATAACTTCTTTTATGTTAAATCAAATAATATAACTTTACTAAAACCTTGTAAAACTATATTATTAATAAACTAGCTTTGCATTAATTAATTATTTGAACCAATTGAATTTACACTTAATTTTTATTATGTATTTTTTTTTTTTTGTTTTTGCTTAATTTACTAATGCCTCATTGAAAAAAAATGTTCATATGTATAAACGTATGTGAACTTTGTACATAGTCCTTCAAACCAAGTAAGCTTAATAAAATCACTAAAATTATAAATGTCATTATTTTTCTATCTTAAATTCCAAAACCGAAAAAATTATGTTCTAAATGTTTAAAAGAAATAAATTAAAATGTACAATGATTAACTTTTTTTGGCGATATCACAAAATAATTATTGTAAGGATTGGAACTGTTTAACCGCTTAAAAATTTTCATAGTTCCAGACCGAATTATGTTGGTCACGGGGCATAATTATTTTAATGCTGGCTAAATTAAATGGTTAACACGGTTAAACAAAAAAATTTCAGACGTTTCAATCCCTACATTATTGGAGAATTTCCAAGTCCATTTCCAAAATATTTTGGGTATTCAACTGCCAAGCTTGGAAATCGTACTACTACTGAAATCACTGAATTAGAACCCATCAGACAACCGCCACTGGAAGCGCTTCTTTCTATGTTCGCTAGTTGCGCACACCATTCAGCATATTCTTGACTGACAGCTTCATATTCCGCAATAGCTTTCACAACATATATATGTCTACGTGGTGCATAATGCCATACGAGTGCATTAAAAGGTTGTTTACTGATTGTACGTGTCAGATTAGATGGTGTATCTTCTGTAACAGATGAAGATGTAGAATTTGATTTGAGATGATCTAAATGTTTGCTAGATCCGTTTGAAAAAACCAGGCGAAACAAATATGCAGCAGTTGACATTTCCTTTCCAGATGAAGACTGTGATGAGATGAGTTCCTTTAATGTCATCTTTCGTTTATTTTTGCGGTTTTTACTTGAAGAAGAAGAAGATTTGGAATCAGGAGTAATTGTCGAAGATATCAAAAGAGAAGTCCTATCACTAGATTGAGTCTGAGATTGATCTTCCTCATTTGGAATAATATTATTGAAATTAGGTGCATCGTCTGTAGATTCTGCAATTTTTGTCTTTAACACCTGTTCGATATCTTCAAAACTTCCATCATAATTAGATAAAAATTCATGACATTGCCTCATGTTGTCCAATCGATTTTGTAATGTCATCAATATACTATAAAATATTTTTCAAAAATGTAAGCACCATGTAAACAACTACGCTTATTATTATTTCCTTACTTACTCGATATCTTCTTCATTACTCAATCCATTATCACTAATTTCGAAATCTCTAGATTCATCACTTTTCACAGTATCACTACCAATTCTCCCGACTCTCCATATCAACAAACGCATAAAATAAATCCTAACATTTCTGGACCAATGACAAAACATCCTTTCAAATATTTCTTCATCTAATATTATTTGTTTAACCAGTTGTCTTAAATAAGCTGGTTGAGAAGTTAAGAAAGAAAATTGAGTATAAACAAAACTTATTGTTCGTAAAATGGTGATAGTGTGATCTGATCTGTTAAGAAGAAGATTAATCAATGAAATATAAAATGTAATATCGAGTATGTTTGTAAGATTAGGGGGTGAAAAGGGGGAATTAGACGAATCACTCGATATAGATGTATTGGCGGAGTTTGGAGTTGTTGGTTCTGAAGAAATAACAGCATTGTCCCTATTGAACATATCGAAATTAACGCATTGGATATTAACAATAAGCAGCTCGAAATCATTAAAAGAAGAAAGTTGTTTACCTGGTATCTAATTCCATTATTAAGGTGTCTATGAAGTCTAATAGGCCTAATAATGTATTAATATTATTAATGTAAACAAGACCGATGATAATTTTTATAATTATAGATTTCAATACTCACAAAAAACTCCTTCAACATCATATAAATTTGTTCTTTTTACTACTGCCTTAACCCAAACATTACACATTTCCTGGAATACGCCGTTTTCCACGATAGAAACCATTGTTTCAACGAATCGGCGTCCTGCCATCTCTAATACTTTAGGCTTTCCATTATTAATACCTGTGGAACTTCCTGCTCCATTCATGGAAGCTTCTAAAACCACATTACCGTTTGCTATTTCGCCATTCATGGGGTTTCCAACCATACTCATTCCGGAATATGTCCCCATTCCAATAGCAGAAGCATCTGGATTTATCGTGTCTGGAATTCTTGTGGTAGAAGGGGTTGATGTTACTAAATTACTAGTACCCCTTGAATGCTCAAATTGAATAACGGTAGTAATGGTATGAATATTGCGATGAATAAGTGACTCGATCTTAAGGAGAAAAAAGGAAGCAAGATGAACATAACCCGGTGCGGTAACGTATTGAAATGGAGGTGTCATTAACTTTGGAGAAGTTGATGTAGAAAGATATGATATAATATAGGACTTAAGGACAATGTGATAATGTTTATAAAATGAAAAAAATAATTCGCTATCATCACTTTGCCATCTTTACAAAAAGAGGAAGTGTTAACAAACAAATCCGGACAACGATATAAACAAATTCTATTGTAATATGTCTAATGCCTACCGACGTATCCAGTTTCCAGTCATCTCAATTGGTGGATCACCCCAGATGCGTTTAGCATTTTCAAATTGTCGTAGCCATGTCCTTAGATTCAAGAAACATAAAATTTTTAAATGTCCTGGAAACAATGATGAAATTTTGTCATTTTGCTTTGATATGCTATTGGTACTAATCAAACGAAATTTAAAAGTTAAAATGTTAATATTAATCGATTAGTATTACATTACATATAAAAAACAATGCCTATATGATATAAAATTAATTAACCTTGGATCTTCTTCACCAACCATCTCTTTTAATATCCTCCTAATATGAGGTTTGCATACGGGTAATGCTTGTAGCAATGCAAAACCTACGCCAGGTATCTTAAAGAAGCATAACGCTAAACAAGTAAAGTTCAAGTAAATAAATAAATTTTGCGTTTTTTGAATGATTGAAAACTGTTATATGCCATTAATACCTAAAACACGTGCGCAGAATGAGATCACATTAGAATATACACCCTTTTGATTCAATCTATCAATTGCATAATGCAGGGTTGTCATCAAGGCAGAACGGTATGACATTATAATTTCTATTGAGACGCCCAAGTAAAAATCTACAGCATCTGGAGGAATTGGTCCTATCTGGTCTATTATTCAAAAGTTAATTAGAAGGCGGAATCATTTGAAGACGATTTTTGATATTAAAATGAATAGCATTTAGAGAAAATAAGACTTACCGAGATCTTCAAATTCGCCCCTAAAAAAAAGGATAATAGCAATCATGGTGTGCATAATTAATTTAAAACAAAAAAAAAACTTTATAAATTATTAAATTATATTTTTACTATACCTTGTCATTAAGGCCAGTATACATTCGAAATAAAGACTACGATCTGTGTATACCGCACTTGGTAAATTTAAGATCAAAACATTCCACCTAAAGATTTTTTTTCTTTATTAATAAACGTTTCTAATCAACATACTATATAAGGCTTACCGACCCATTTAGTGAAAGCGATCAATTCTCGTATCACATAACAATCACCATTATTGTGATGTATAAAATTGGCCGGCATAACCTATAACAAAGCGCGTAAATACAAACCATTTAAGCAAAATTAAGCGGCCTTGTTGTAGACTTTTATCTGTCATATTTACTAGATCAATTTAGAAAAAAGGAAGGATACATTTAAGTATTAAAGGAATATCTCATCACAACACTGTTAACGGATTTATCTTGTAAATGGTATATCTTTACTTAGGCTGTTTTTTTTGAGCCAGGGATTTACTATTGTCTTTAGGACATCAGTTTTACTTCGATCTTTCGATTGGAATCTATAGATTCAATTTAATAAAACAATGTTTAGCAATAAAAAGTAACGCCATCAAAAGATCTTAAAAACAACTCACTTCACAAGAGCTTTTTCTATTGTTTTATATTCTGAATCCTGGGAATTTCCCCAGGCCTTGAATAATTTATATTTTGGACCTGAGTCCGTTATTCCTGTGGCTTTTTTCTTTGCCATCTCCGTACTGGAAGATATCGAATGCGAAGTACCGTCGTTGGCTAATAGAGTCGATAGAAAACCGTGTTTTTTAACTTTTTTATCGGATTGTCTAGTGGTAGTTGAAGTAGAAGTAGCGACTGTCATCGCAGTTGTTCTAGAAATTACAGAAGTTGGTTGGAACGAAGCAGTTACTGCTGTTTCCAAATCCGTGCTATTCAAAGTTGTGTTTGTGTTCAAAGTAGTGTCTTGATACACAGAAATCGGAGAATCTATAGTATCTATTAATGTTGTTGGTAATATTTTACTCGAGTTATTTGTATAAGACGTTCGGTCTGTTGTAGGGGATGATCTATTGTGAATGCTTCGGGTTACTCTCATTGCTGGGCGCAAAGAAAACCAGCACTAATAAAAATAAATCGAATTTACGGATATCACTAGATAGTGCTACAATTCTGTATTTAATATAGTTGATTATCTTTGTTTCAAATAAATAAATTATCTTGGCACACACTAACTTCATAATAGTCACAGTTGCAATCACACTTGAATTTATGTAGCCTAGAATGCGTGACCACAACGACTGCATGTGCTTTATTATTACAGCATATCTAATATTGTTGCTAATTAAAGTTTAAAATGATTGCATACTACTTTAAAAGCTTAAATAAGCTAGCTAAATATGTAAAGTTCATAAAAACATAAAATACCGATACGTACAGGCACTCAATAGAGATGTTAAGTGGTCCGCGATGAACTAGTTCGGACTGGGGTCTGGAACTGGACTTTTTTTTAGGGACAGTTCCTATAATTTAGGGACAAATAATTAGTGACTAAGTCAATATTTAAAATCGACTAAGTTGAAATCGATTGTTCTAATTGGTTATTTTAGTTAGTGTAGATCATCTGATTGGTGCATATTGTCGATCTTTCATGGTCTCGTTGGGGTCTAAGCAAAGTCGATCTTCTTAATAATATATCCCGAATTTTTCCGTCAACACACTATAAAATTTAATTTTCCGAAACTGTCAAGTCAAATTTTTCAAATCGACTGACTTAGTCGGCTAAGTCGATTTTATCGGCTAACACTAATGCCACAATCACTAAATACAAATCTAATTAGACACAATACTAAATAGTTATCAGGCAGGCACTGCCTGATGACTGGTTTATTTGGTCGAGGATTTAAAATCAGACTAAGAAATTGAATTCCGAAGAAATTCAATTTTTTAGGCTGACCTTAAAATTCTTGACCAAATAATTAAGTTAGGCTATGCAAACTCATATAATTGGTTCTCATAACCGGGCGGGTCACTTTCTCTAAAAATTAAAATTTTAATTTTTTTTTTTATGTTATGAGAACTAGAAAATCAACTTTGTATAGCCTTATAAGGTAGGGATGTTAAATTGCCGGTCCGGTCCTGGGACCTAAAACGATGGTCTTGGACTTGATATAAAAACTAATAGTTGATCGATCTTAGAACTTGATATAAGTCCATCCAATCAAATAGATACTTTATTGTTAGATTATACTTTATCATTAGATTATCATTAAACATAATATTTAAATTTATATACTATAAAACAAAATTTTATATATAACAAAATTTATATAAAAAAATTTTTTTATATAAAATAAAACAAGAAAAAAAAAATTAAATTTAAGCATTAATATTACCTGTCTTTATTTAACATGTTACTTAGTTTTTTATATTAGCTTTTTAGATATAAGAACATGTAGGGTCTTTGCCTTAAAAATGACCTTATAGAACATAGTAAATTATATGATTCAAACTTGATTTTCAAGACAAAGACCCCATGTGAGCTACTTTAGAACTAATATAATTTTATATTAAACTAATTATATGTTTGGTGACTGAGAAAGCTTGCTTGCTTGACATATTAGTTGCTTGCATTATTAAATTTTTAAAAGTGCTATATATCAATAATAATGGTTATATTATTATTGATATATAGCATCTCTGTAAAATATTATTATAAATGGTTATTAATAATATATAACAAAATTTTGTTAAATTTACTTAATCTTTTATATTAATTTTCTCAATAACTACTAATTTAAAGCAGTTTAAATTTTTACTGTAGATAGTATATACTATATGTTCAATTTTTTTATACTAAAATTTTATCTAATTTAGATTAATAATTTATAAGAAATCACTTGTAAATAATAGTTATTTTTTGTAAAAAATTAATTATTGTTTACAAGTGATTTTTCATAAACTATTAATCTAAATTATATAAAATTTTAGTATAAAATAGTTGAACATATATACTATTTACAATAAAAATTTGAATTAATTTAAATTAGTAATTATTAAAAAAATTAAAGTCAAACTTTGAAAAAATTTAACAAATTTTATAAAAATTATTACTAATTTATAGTAATAATAATCATTTAATATAGGAATATAGTAATTTAGTAAAGTGATCAAGTTATTAATCTTCCAAATAGTAGCTTGATATTTAAATTCTATTGATGATAAAAATTTGGATAATCATCTATATAATATTCATATTATGACAACTTTATTAACAATTAGATTAAGATATCTGTAATATTAGTTATATTATTATAATTAATAGGTTATAAAATATCTGTATAAGTATAACATTATATAAAAAAATACAAACCAACAATCAGACAATACAAACACTAGATAACTTCTTGTAATTATATAAATTTATTAAAATTAAATAACAAAAAGTCTATTTGAGAAGATCAAAATAAAAAAGTAGTTGAATTTTTAATGATCTTATTATAAAGATTAATTTAAGAAAACAGATACTAAGGTCATAGTACTCAGACAGATAAGAACTTTCAGATTAGAAATTTCAAAAGTATCACCAATCAGGCTGCTAAAATAAATCAAAAAAAAAGAATATCAGACTAATCTAATATATTAATGAACTAATTATAGTTCTATACAAACTATCTGAATTGGAATTCTAGTAAAAAGACAAAAATATACTAAAATACTAAAATTATGTTATGAAAAAATGTTGAAGTTTGAGTGAACTCTATAAGAGCATAGTAGTTAAATAATACAACTCTGATTACAAGTGTTGGCTCTAATATAGCAATACTAGATCAGTTATAAAAATGAATAAAAAAAACTTTAGAAGATTTACTTTAAGAATAAAATAGTTCTAAGATTAAGATAATAATCTGAGCATTTGAGTATAACCTAGTAATATTAATACAAATTACAGATTTAAAGAGTTTAAAATAAAACATCCAAGCAATAATATTAAGTATGACAATTAGTAAAGAACCTTTAGCAGACTTTTTAAATAAATAATATAAAAAACTTACATATATATAGTTAATTGTATACTCTTTTGTAATAGTTTATTAAATTACATTACTAAAAAAGTTATTAATAAAAAGCCAAAAGACCAAATAGATCATCTTAATATCAAAAAAAAATTTATTATTTAATATCATTATATATCAAAAAATGTTATTTATAATTGGTAATTTTTTATTTTTTATTTTTTTTTTTTCGATATTAAGGTGACCTCTTTGGTCTGAGCTTTTTATTAATACTTATAGCGGGTACATGTTTTATATAGATGTATCTATA